GCCAGGAGAGCTGACCCCAGCTGGCCAAAGAGCTATTCCATACCATATGATGTCATGCTCAGTATATAAACCAGGGGAAGAAGAAGGAAGGGGGGGATATTCGGCGTGACGGCGTTTGTCTTCCCAAGTAGCTGTTACTTGTGATGGAGCCCTGCTTTCCTGGAGATGGCTGAACACCTGCCTGCCCATGGGAAGTAGTGAATTAATTCCTTGCTTTGCTTTGCTTGAGTGTGCAGCTTTTGCTCTACCTGTTAAACTGTCTTTATGCCAACCCACAAGTTTCTCACTTTTACCCTTCCAATTCTTTCCCCCATCCCATTGTGGGGGGAGTGAGTGAGCAGCTGCGTGGCGCTGAGTTGCCATTCGGGGCTAAACCATGACAGCACTGCCCATGAACCCAGGCTGCTTACAACTCCAATATTCTCCTAAATACCTCCCGCACACTCAGGCATATGCCACTGAAAGATACCTACTGTGCACAGTCCTCTTCCCAGTACACCTTGAAGGGCAGGAACATAGTGATCGTCTTTGTTGTTGTTATTCAGGATAGTAAACCTTCCACAGCCATCCCGTAGGTTTGCAGTCCACACCACTAGCATATGCACATGACCTTTGTTGGTCCATTCCTACCTATACTTTGTGTCCCGGAGAAGTGGTTAAGTACCTCTTTAGGTAACTGTATTGCAGCAGGCATGGGGGCTGGATACACAGAGGCATAGCAGCTCCTGAGAGCAGATGGAGACAGTCTTTTGGCTAGATGGCCCTCAGTGCCTTGAGCCAGCCAGACCAAAACAGTGGTCAGAAGATCTAAAATTGCATTTAGAATCATAGAATAGTTTGGCTTGGAAGGGACCCTTAAAGGTCATCTAGTCCAACCCCCCTGCAACGAGCAGGGACGTCTTCAACCAGATAAGGTTGCTCAGAGCCCTGTCCAACCTGACCTTGAATGTTTCCAAGGATGGGGCATCTATCGCCTCTCTGGGCAACCTGTTTAGACTGACTGAATTTGCCACTTAGTGCCTGCTGACTGAATTTATAGGTCAATGCCCTTGCATGTGTTAGATCTGGGCTTAACTCCTTAACATACACATTTTTTTTCTTCTTTTAGGAAAGTCAATGACAATGAAATATTCTCAAGCATCATTGGAAAAAAAAGTGATTCATGGCATACCTGTGCTTGTACCAAGAAGCCAAACCACACGCACTCACAACCCAAAGGGGACCATCTCATTAGATCTGCTCTGCAGATTTGCCCTGCCACTGAACTGAGCTGTGGTAGCCTCTGCTGGCATGTTGATGGAGAGAATATTACAGTGTGCCCCACGGGCCTGTGGGAGAGATCAGACCAATATATCAGCAAAGGAGGCATCAGAACAAATGAGGGAGCACATGAGCTGCATTTCAGGCTGAAATCTCTACATCCTGAGTGACTGCAGCTTGTTTACACACCTAATGGGGAGTGATGCAGATGGGAAGTGGGATTTAAAGCCATCACAGAACCTTAAAAATAGCACAGTGAAAGTCATTGTTCCATTTCTCAATTAGGAGGACAGGAAACAAATACGCATGAGTGTGGAGGCTTTCTGCTCCAGCCCTGAGGGAATGACCCAGAGTCATGAGAATATAGGCTAAATATTGAAGCAAAGAATGAGAAGCGGCAGGAGACAACAGAATATAATTTGTGTGGATAGGCTGTAGCAGCCTCTGCAGAAAGAATCACAAAACATTCTACTGAGAGAATATTTTATATTGCTGTGGGCAACTGTTCATCATCCATGAGCAGAAGTGGAAAACTGCTGGCGAGACCAAACAAGGTATTTCAATGTAAATACCACCTTTGTTTCACAGCAAACAATGCAGTAGCATTTTGCGAACATGGACACTGTTTAGAGTGGTAACAGTAAGTATAGTAAGAGTTATGTGATTAACCAGAGCAAAGAAATATATACATCGTGCATCACAGGGAGAGTCTTTGCTGTGAATCAGTCTCCTTAGGGAAGCAGCAGAAGTATTGTTTTCTGAGTCACTTGGAGTTAGAAGGGAGTAGCATGGTGGAGAACATTGGTGTATGGACCAAGAGATGAGCAAGCCCGTTTCTCTTTGGAACTGTGTGTATCACTGGATGCATTTTTAAAGGCATAAAAATGCCCATAAAGATTTTTCAGGTTGTTAAGTCAGTGATGGCAAGTCAGAAGTAAGATGATAGGAGAAAAAGGAGTGTATTGCTGTAGGGTAGTATTGGGGGTAGGACATGAAGAAAGAATGGAGCTTGGGGGAAGGAGAAGCCACGTTCCAGAAGGGAGTTACTGCACATGCGGAAGGGCAGCCTCTGCTTGAGCAGAAGGGTAGACAGGGACTGGGGGGCAGTCAGGTTAGAGGAGGAAAGAAGTCAGCTCTGAGAGATGTATGTGGATGTGAGAGTGAAAACCAAGACAAAGAGAAGAGAAATGAGTGAGGATGGAAAAAGGAAACACGTGTTTGTGAGCAAAAATAGTTGCAGTTATAGGAAGCATGTTGTGGAAACAGACTGCTTGTCCCAGGTGGTTAACTGTAACCAACCGTAATATTTGCAAGAAACACTTCCAAACTGCAGTCACGATGTCTTTGTGAAGTACGTAAGCACTGACAGAGGAGGGAGGCAAAGACAGAAAGACTGAAAGGCAATGGAGGAGTCTCTGTTGGTGTGGGACTAGAAGGTGAGCAGCCCTCACACTCAGCCCTGAGCTAGACTTTGTGTCTCTTCGCTTGTGAACATGTGCTGTGAGTGCTCCAGGCTCCGCTGGCTCATTATCGGGTACAGTCAACCACCAAAAAAAGTCACTGTCTAGATCAAACTTCAGAGTGCTGCCAAATGTACCCCAAAGTGTAGCCCTGGGCTGGACCCTTTTGAAACAAAGGGAGCAGTGTGTTCTATCAATCCCAAGCACCAGGAAGCAGAAAAGGAGAAGGAGTAATTCCAGACTTGAGGCTATAACGACAGGAGAAAGAGAGGACAAATACAAACTGTTTACTGGATGGTGGGACTTGCTCCAATTGTTGTAGCGAGATCTATGCCAACCAAGCTATGCTGGTAGCTATTCTTAGCCCAGGAGGGAAATAAATGTGTATTAATCATCTCTGCATTGATATAACTGGTAAGGTCACAGAGAGGGGAGGAAAGGAGTCAGTTGCTCCAAAATATCTTATGTTGGTTAAAAAAAAGAGTCTTCTCTATCAAAATTACTTTCCTGGCAAAATGGTTAAATTTTTAAGAAAGACAATACATTTTTTAACCTTAACAGTACTGATCTGTTGTAAAGCTTGTTTTCACAAAAAATAGCTAATACTTTGCTCAAAGGAGTACATGCCCCTACACCTTTATTGGCCTTCCCAGCCAGCAGTAGGCTTTGTAGGGACTCAGTCCTTGGTGTGCTGTCAGCACGCTCTCCCAAAGGTGTCGGTACTTTACACATGATTCTCTTCCTCCCTTAATCTTGTAGCAGCAGCAGCTCTTTTTACTATAAGCCTTTCTGGCTGCTTGTCTTAGGCTTACGTGGGGGACAATAAAGGTCCTGTCCTAGGAGAGGGCTGCTCTGTTGTTTCAGCATTCCCATAAGTTGTTATGGGGGATGGGAAAGATGGTCCTACCTGGAACCTCAGTAGACCCAATGTGGATCATGACTTCATAGGCAAAGCTCAGGAGTTAGATGTATCTTTTTTAGCTTTATCATTGCTTGAACCTCAACATATTACTCTTGAGCTTCAGAATTAAAAGTATACTGCAGAAACTTTCTCTAGTTAGAGTTGCTTAAGTTTGGCTCCAGAGACCTGAGCTGAAAATTTATATCAAATCCTGACTTGACTCAGGGTTAGCTCTGATTTTAATTTAACAAAAGGCAAAGATTTGCAGGGCTTTGCAAAGATTTGAAGAGAGTAGAACTCTCTGCCACTGTCCATGTGAACAGATCTTTAGCAGTAGTGGAAGACATTAAATCACTTTTTGAGGAAGAGTAAACCAACACGCTAAGATTTATTCACAGTGAAAAGCAGGAGTGAATCTGTAACCCAGTCCTGTTGTTCGCAGATTATTTGGTACCACTGCATGACCCTTACAAGGAATCAGCCCCAGGAATATCTGTCAGGCACCATTCTTAGTCCTTTGTGTCTTCTCTTTGTGCAATCAGAAATGCTAACTGCATCTAGTATATGAAACATGCTTTTGAAGCTCTTTTCCAGCACGTTATCTGCACTAAAATTAGTATTATAGGCATAAATAAATAGCCAGTTCTAAATGATTGCAGAACATGTTATCCCAAAGGGTCCTAAAACATTCCCAGAATAAAGATGGATAGCGGGCCAGAATAGCGTGTGTTGCACAAAAGCAGGGAGAGGAAAGGAGAGAAACTTTTGACTTAAGACCCTATGGTGCTGGGTCAGACCTCCTCCTCTCACAGAGCTGCATGAAGTTTCTCATGTCCACGCGGAGCAAGCCTGACCTCCAGGATGGAGGTCTTACATTGGAGTGAGCCTCCAGGAAGTCACAGGGCTGAGAGGATCCTTCTGCAATTTGTACATGTTCTTCCAATGAATTCCAGGACTGGGACACACAAGAGACTCCTACCCTACTAATGAGCAGTTTCTAGATAGAGCAAGACCATCAGTTATGTAGGACCAGCTGAGACGTGGGGAGAAACCAGGTTGCTGGTTGCAAATATGCACATGTAAGTTAATTTAAGGAACAAGTTGCTGACCAGTAAGTGTACTGGAGATGACCATAGCCTCTGTCTTGATAGATTTCACTAGAAACAGTCTTTGCAGAAGTGAGCATCAAATGTAATGTCAGAAAATCTTTCATCTTCCTGTCTGTGACAGCAAACTGTGAAGTAGGAAAAAAAAACCCAGCAAACTCCACAGATGTGGGCGACAGCTAATGCTGACATACCTGTAACGTAGTTAAATGAAGTCCTTCTGATTACCATGTAATCTCCCCCATTGCCCACAAACCGCTTCCTTTTCTACCCATGAATTCTTTCCCATCTTCACAGCAGACAGAAGGCGTTTGTGTCAGGCAAGCATGAAGTTGGTGGCTGTAACTTTCTGTGTCTTCTACTTTCAGTTTGAAGCCCTGTACGGTGAGTAGCATTTTGGATTATTCTCCTTGCAGTAGATATGTCTATGGAATATAACCCACCCAATGACAGGAGACAGTAAATGAGGCATGATAGCAAGGGGTTGGAGGAATAGACATAATTAAGGGAAATAGCTGCAAAAAGACCACTCTCAACTTTAATATCACTAGAATTCGTAGGAAGAGAGTTCCTGCCAGCACAGGGTATTTGCTCTGAAATAAAAAAGTACAAGTTTTCAGTGTTTATATTCCTTAGCTCATCTGCTCAGTGTTCCCTCTAGCTGTTTAGACTGTAGTGCTCCAGCCAGCTTCCCTTGCTGGGTATAAGGTCTTACAGCAAGATGACAGTGAATGGCTTAATAAAGAGGACCCAAGTTATTGATATTAAACCTGCTCTTGTTTGGGTAGGGAATTTTTATAGTATGAAAAATGTATATGGCATGGAAAAGTGGATGAGATTATTTTGGTGCAGGCTTGAAATGCAGACCGACTTAAAAGGAAGTGTAGCATTCCTAATGCTGTGTTTGAGAAGGGGCACGGTGGCAGCGCTGATCTCAGTCCAGCCATAAACATGGATGTAGTGTTTTACAAGATTCAGTGTTTTATCACAGCCATGCAAAGTAAATTGCAAGAGTTCACATTTATCTCTCTGAAACCCGCATATTACCAGGCCAGGATGGAAATACAGGTAATATCTGATTAAGAAGAGTCTTTTTCTTCATACATATACTGTTCAAGGATTTGGTATGATGCTTCATATAAGACCTGATGATTCAGTGCGCATGGTTACTAAACACCATCTAAAAATGTTCCTTTGAAGGTGATGCCAAGGGCTATGGGATATGTTTGCTTCTGAAATTCTAGTGATACAGGGTAGGTTTCAAGTCCCCCTGTAGAATTTAAGTACTCCTGAGGTTTCATGCAGAATTTAAGCTTTCATTTAAATAAAAACCGGTTTCCAGCTCTTTAGGCAATGCAGATACCCTTCTGAAGGTTAACTAATACAGCGATAGTATACTGAGTTTTCAGATAGATTGAAAAGATGGGTGAAATCACAGGGAAGGAGGATTGTGATTAGTATCTCTAAAGGGACATGAGCTGCTCTTTTTCTCCTTGAAAAGTTATTCTTAAATCTACTAGCAAAAAATCCTATCAATTTTGTTAAATATTTCTCAGCTAATCAAATTAACAGGTATACTTGACAGGCATGCTTTTACATGTGGCTGGAACTATCTAAAAGGCCATTTCTTGTGGGAAGAAATAGGCTGCAATTTTAAGGGTGTGAATAATTGTTCTGTCTGGTACCGGCATTTCTCCCTCCTTTCTCCCTTCCTTCAAATATGGAGGATTTGGGCAGGGGCTGGAGAGAGGAGATGGCAGGAGAAAGAGACTGCCTGTAACAAGAAATGGTATCTCTCAGGTTTTTTACCTTACACCGCTTTCAGCATAAAAAGTATTAATTATTATCATTCTTGCTCAAATGAAAAGGGCTGTAAAAAATCAGCTTGATGTAAGACACAGTAGCATGATACTCTCATTTAGAGAACAAGCCAGCACTCCAGAGTGTTACTCTCAAGCACTGTGGCAAATTTTGGGGAGTAAAAGCAGCGTAACTTCTGAGATTTTGGGGGTTTTTTTTGACTTATCAATTAGCAATCCCTACCTGTGATCTATGGATAGTTTTTTCTGATGTAAATAGGCCACAGAAGGTGATATATGTGTGTATATGCGTACTATAATTTGACAACCCAGTTGTAATAAAGAAATTGTTGTAAGAGCATGGAGCCTCTCTGGTGCCTGTAGAGGAACACAGGCAATGGGATTTTGGAGTAGAGAGCTGTAGGATTCCACAGCACTCGAGGCGCTTACTATGAAACATTGCACGTGGGCTTTTTCACACCAACATTTGCAAAGCATTATCACTGTTCATCCACAGATCTCCTGTTGTCAATACAGGAGGAAATCATACTCATTTCTTAGAAGGGTGTCTGAAATAATATCAACAATGGCTGCTGTGTTAGTGGTGTATTTAAGAGTTTCCATATTTCACAACATATAGAAATAATTCTGATTATAGATGGCTTCCTACAGTAATTATGGCCACTACTTGCTTTGCCCAGAAGCACTACTTTCCTCTCTTAATCCCTGATCCTTGAAAGATAGGAACATATTAGTTTTAGGTATATGACTAATGGCACTGAATTGACAGTGTCATCTTTCAGAGTGACGTGAAAGGTCAAAACTATAGCAACTTAAAAAACTTGTGTGTGGTTTCATTACATGTTTAGTATTAACAAAACAAACATGTTTGTTTTAATGTCAGAGTCTGCACTCTCCTTCACCCAAGTGAAATTATGCTTGTTCTTTTTATCAGCTAATTAGTTTTCTGAGAACTGGGGCAGATAAAACAAACAGCAAGAAAACCAAGCAAGAGTATGCTATCCTCCTACCCTAAACTCCAAGTTTTAAAATGAATCAAAAGTGTTTTTTAAAGTTCTGCTAGGACCAAAATGCGTAATGGATTGGTGATGTTTGCAAATAGCATTGGGTCTGCCAAAGAGCAACCAGAAAGCTAAAAATTGCAATCTGTTAAAATGAAAAATAACCCACCTTCCATCGGCCTCAGTGTCCAAGCACAGTATCACAGAGGTTCCCAAACCTCTGCCAAAGTGCTTTCTCACTGCAGTAAAGATGAAACAGAGAAAGAAATGTATATGACTCTCAGTACTCATATACATATGTGAATGTACACACACTCACACATACTTTCATAGTTCAACATAGCAAGATGTTACTATCATATACGTGTTTATCTCTTGGATTCACATCTGAACCACAATATTTGTCTTGACAGTCTGCTTCACGTGAGGTGAGCTAGGAACAACTCTATGCAGCTCCACAGTGTGACACTGAAACAATTGAAAGATTTGTTTCCTCTTGTACCAAAACCCTCATACACAATTGAATTGGCTCTTTTATGAAAAATACCAAAAAGGAACCTTAAGGCCAAATCTAAGCATTTTTACTACTGAACCAGTGAGATTCTTCTGTTCCTTTCCAAGAATACCGTGATGTAGTCTTTTATTCACACATTTTTTGAGGAAGTATTAGGGAGGTTTAGTGAGTGAATCTCTCAATATTACTGGATGTTTAAACGCCAGTTTCCTATCTCCCATTCCAGTAAATGTACATTTATTCTAACTATAGTTTGGCAAATGACATCCCAAATGCGTCTGGACATTAACCACAGAGTGCTACAGATCCATAGGATTATCCTAGGAATGAACTGGTACAAATGGGCACAGGAGAACAGCAAGCAGGCACAGGGAGTGGGGAATAAGCCACCTTTTAGTATGCAGCGAGAGCATTCACTTTAGGAGCTGATGCAGAATAGCTAGTGAGTTGGAAATTCATATGGGATCTCACCGATTGTGGTCATCCATGTAGACAATTTGGTGTTTTACTCTCAGGCACTGTTAATCTAATTTTAAAATGTGCTCCCTTTATACTATGCTAAGCACAGTCTTTTATATGGTCACTTGTTTCAGAGGAATATTAATTTCATCACATTTACCAAAATGCTCATTCAGAGACCATTACTGAGTCTTTCTTGAAAATAGGCAATTAAGGCTTCTGGACCTGAGAGGATACGTAGCGGTCCTTCAGCTTGTCACTAGATCACATGAACTACATGCTTAATGACCTCTCTCTGCCCTTTTCCATTAAAAACAAGGATTAAAACCATGATCTCTGACAAGCATTTTAAACCACCCGGTAAGAAAGGGTGATTTCATTAGCTAACATCAAAATTGAACTATGCTCAGAGACGATCAAAGAAATGAAATTCAAAGCTGTTGCTTTAGTGCTCAGAGTAGGGTAGCTCCACGCTCCCCTGAGGCACTGGGGGAATATGGCACCGCTTGGCTCTGTAGCTGCCCCGACAGAGGCAGCATCTGCCTCTCCTCTCAGATGACCAGTGACAAATGCAAAGGTCTCAGCTACAGGTGGATGCTTATCAAAAGTATCAGATCAGTTTACATATTCACCATGCTCCCTAGCTTCTGCTATGTCAATAAACTCGGGTTTTTCTTCCTTTCCCTAAATAATTTTTCTGCTCTTGGGCCTAATTTTAAAGGTATATGTTACCAAACTACAGGCCATCAAACTATAGAGCATTGTAAAAGACCTTTATTTCAAATGCTGTTCTCATAGCAGCTGTTTTCTTTCACCATGCAACATGCAAGACATCAAGAACTGTTTCTTTATTTAACCTTTGCTTTCAGCTTTTCAGACTATATACCATTATGAGGGCTTGCACTTTCTCTATCTGTGCCTTCAGTGTATCTAGAGCTCTATTTCATTGTGGGTTGGCAAGTTGTGTGTTTTGGCTGTCTTATCTTCACACCAGTGGTACAAGATGCCAAATACCTTGTCTGTTACCACACACTTAATAGTTCTGAGAGAAGTACAGATATTAGAACCGTCTATTAGAACTGCTGAATTAGATAAGGATGCTGACTGTGCACAGTAAACCAGGAAGAATGTGATAACTAGGAAGAGGGTAAATCAATCAAAAAGGGATAACAGTTTCTATTGCTTTCCAACTGAGCATTGCAAAGCGTCTTCCAGAAGTCCATTAGCTTATGTGTCACACTAAAAATATCTTAAACAAGTATCATTCATTGCAATGCCCTTGCCAATGGTGGTAATTGGGAAGCAAGAAGTCAAAGAACAAAAAATCACGGACATTAAAAGATTGCCTCTGTCCAGAAAGAGTTGAGAACATACATAGGTACCCAAACGAGAGTAATCTTCTGTTGCTGTGCATATGCAGGCTGCATGTCGAAGATAACAGGTGCCTTGGGAAAAAGATTATTTATACTATGTAATCCGTGCAATACCTGTCACAGTTGGGGACCTACTCTCTATGGATCTAGACTACCATGTAGCAGTAAGAATAGGATGGTGCATCAAAATCTTTAAGTGTTTGCCCCGTATTTTCTTAGCATCATAAAATCCTGATGTAGAATGTATTTCAATCAAAGCAGCCTCTGAAGAACTTACTCAGGTTACCAGAAAACAGGAAAAGCAGATATATTTTTTTTTCTACTTGTCTGTGTACCTGTCTGTACCTTTAGTTTTAGGGCACTGCAAAAAGAAAAATTCCAAATGAAACACTATCAGGCTGTGCTATGCTGCCAGTACTGACATATAAACCATTTCAAAGCAGTACATGCCACCAACCCAGCCAGAAAATTCCACTCTCAGTATTGCTGTAGTGGGTGGTGATGGAGGCAGCAGCTTAAAATACAAATCCAGAACAATTATTAAAAATGTGCCTGTCTCCTGTAATGGAAGCTGCCTATGCACAACGGACAGTTTGATAATCATGAAGAGAAAAAGTTGCTATTGAAAAAGGAACAAAACCGTATGTGTTGCTTGAATATTTTCTTGCTGTACATATTGGAGCGTCTTCCAGATATTCATTCTTGATGTGCCATAAGAAGATGTTTTGATGCAATATTGACTGGGGGAAACAGAACAAACCTAGAACAAAATGAGAACTTTGATCTGGAAACAGTGTAATGCTGGCTCATTGTAGACTCTGGATTCATGAGCAATCAAAAGTATGCTCCTTCATTTGGGGGCAGATTTCCTCAGCATTTTGGGGTAAATTTTACTTTCATCTCAGTTTCTATATAAGAAGTACATCTGTTACTTTGCAGAGGTGTTTTAAGAATTTGTAAATGCGATATGTAAGATCAATATTAATTCTTGCTCAATGCATTTTCTTTCTACTTTGATTTTTATATTTTGTGCTTTTATCACATCATATGATTTTATAGTGTAGCACAGACAGGATCAGATAGGCTAATGATGCAAATTAGAAAACAACTTCAGCATCTTAACATTGCATGGCTCAGCCCCTGTTCCTGCATCTCTTTTCTTGAATTTTAAACAGGAGAACAATTTTGTGTTTTTCAGGAGTTGATAGCTGCTCGTCAAGACCATGCAAAAATATAGGTAAGACACATTTGCACAATTTGGTTTATGGTTTTGTATGCCTTTCTAGATCAGAAAGTACTGCCCTTGAAGAAAAAAAATGTCATTTTTTTACAGCACATTTTAACACATTTTTGTCTGAGGGAGTTTCCCATGCTATTGGTCGCTGACTTCACAAAGTCAAACTGTGAGGTAGCAGGAGGTCCTCAGTCAGTTTACTTTCTTTTTCTTCTCCAAGAAATTTTCAAAATGAGAGTTACACAACATCTGAGTTTTTGAAACAGTTTTTGAGAAGGTCAAATGTGATTTTTGGATGGCGTGTGGGTGCATGCACAAAGTGACATTTGTCCTCCACTCCTCCCATTATGTTAGTGATAAAGGTGCTATAGCCATCTAAGTAATTAGGTTTAGGCTCTAATGTAGGAGTTTTGGGTTCACATCCCATTTTAATTTTTCAGCTACATGATTAGGGTGCAGATTATGAACCACAGAACAGAGAAAATTGTAATAATCTTTGTCCCACCTTGTTTTATCTATGAATAGGACAATCAGTCTGAGGCAGGGATTATATGTCCATAGAGTGTTTGGTCCAAGGGGACCTTTAAACATTATCAAGAAACTCACTCATCCAATGCTAACAGTGACCTCTCCAGTCTTATAGTGAATAACAGGCCAGGTTTTATCTCATCTCACTTACTTTCTCAGTAATGTCTGACATGACCAGAATGATGCACTGGCATCTCAGCGTACAGGCTGCTTTCCACAGCCAGATTATTCTGAGTACCTACATGCCTTAAGTTTCAATTGCATGGTTCACTTGCTTTGTTTAAATGAGTTTCTTAACATGTTAGGGATTCTTTCCAAAGCTGTATGAATAACTACACTTATTGTTTTCATATCTTCAGATCAGCTTCATGTCTCTGACCCCCAGGTGATGGTGGAATTTGAAAAGGGAAACTTCAGGTTCACATTCCCCAACCCCAAAAATGTAAGTGAGTTCAGCATGACTCTCTTCAAAGGGCATGAGAAGAAGGAGATCTGTGCACTCCATTTGAGTGAGAAGAAAGTTATCCCCAAGAGTAATGTCACCTACTGTCAGACAGAGCATTCAAATAGCAGCACCACTTTCATTCTTAAAAATCTGGAAAGAAAGCATACCAACATTTATACCTACTGCCTGGAGATGTTCTTACCCCCTCCTTATAGAGATTGCCGTCTGAAAGAAACCTATTTGTACATCCAAGGTAAGTTTACTTCTCATCTCCCCACTTCAGTTTACTGATCAGTAGACACTGGGCATAGCTATGCTGCAGTGAAAGATGTGACTAGAGTTTGCACAGATATTTCCAAGACAGATTAAAACTACTTTGCAGTGGGCTGTAACAGTGGAGATGTGTTGGCAGACTGCTCAGCATGGCCTCTCCATATTTATTAATCTTCTTGGGCAGGTTTTGCAGGCCATGCTGAGCTCTGCATATTGTTGGCTGCACAGACTTTAATTTTGAATTGCCTTTCACTCAGTCGCTCTTTTTATATTACACGGTAAGAGTTAGCAGTGGTTTTGCTCACACTCCTTATTTCTCCATATAGTTCACTTGCAACATGGTACTACCTGTTGTCCTTCCCTTGCTATCTTTTCCTCTCTCTCAACACTAAGCAAGATAGAAGCTGAAATACTAAGGCTAAAATTATGTGGTTGGGTCAAATTACCTCTCAGTCCTCTCTGAACTTAAAACAGCTTCTCAGAATCAAGCTGTGACATCCTTTTTTGTGTGCAGTGTTTCCCAAAGTTGTCCATTTCCATTTGTATGGATAGCCAGATGCTCATAGCTATTGCTAGATGTTTCACGCTCTATCATATTTTCTGCCAGATCTGGGCAAGGGTAATCTTGGTGTCTCCCAGCTTGCCTTCCTATCCAAACATGACTGAAAAAGTTCACCCTTCTTTTGACCTGGCTGCCCTTTAAATCACCTGCAGTACTCACTGAATGTAAACTTAAGCCTTGCTCAGATCTGAAATATCATGCTCTCAAGCCTGGCTTTTTCTTTTCAGTCTACACTTTCAGCCCTGTGTACCAACAGTTTCACCTCTCCTTCTGGAAAACTGCAATATTCTGCTTCCTCCTGAATCCAAGGTGGCTTTTCACCTCAGGAAAATCCTTCTTCAGAGCTCACTTTTGCTATTCTATTAATATGAAGGGAAGAGGGGAAAGAATTTGAAAAGTTATCTCGGGGGGGGGGGGGGGGGGGCGGGGGAAATACAAATGATCAGTTATGACTTTTTTTGCCTTCCTATTTCCAGATAAGGAAGACTGCATTTCACTGGGATTCATGCCATGGATAATTATTGGCCTGATCATGTTTGCAATGACTTCCTGTATCTGCTGTGTGGTAGCCTGTTGCTTAAGGAACAAGGTAAGCAAATCTATGAGATTCTGCACAACCCTCCTTCCAAGGGTCATGGATGGGGAACTTGATTTAATGAGATTTAGAGGGTGGGACAGGCACATACTCACTCAGCACGTGATGTGTTTTTTGACAAAGAGACTGAGTTGTTAATTTACCACTGGAATTTAGTCATTGATGACAGCAGCTCAGATTTAATTTTTCCAAGACAGAATTGTTTATTGATTTAAAGGCTGGGAATCAAAGGAAAGAGGAGAAATGCTGCACAGGTCAGCAAAATTACTTTGGTAAGCAATTCGCCTGATTGTTTTCTTCAAGAAGGGGAAACAAATCATCAGTGGAGCAATTCCAGCTCTGTTCTGGAGCAAAACCACTTAAACAAAGAACCAGTTGGCTCAGGAAAGAAAGGAGATCATGGACATTAGTTATTCTTTTGGACAATGTGTGGGTTTCATTTTTGGTTTGTTTTATTTCAAGTTTTCTATGTGAGTGCCTGTCTATTCTGACTTTAATATTCCCACTGAAAACGGTCAGAGTAACTGCCCTACTTAAAGAACAAAGGCAGGAGTGGCAGAGATTAGTGACCACAAATTAAATTCATGGCGTTTTCTCTCTGTTTGCAGAATCAGCAGTGTGAATCCAACTCCCATGAGTACAACAGTGAATACATGCCCATGGCAGCAGTGAATGCAGCTAAAAAAACAAGAATCTGAGGTTGTATTAAGCCTAGTTGTATTTGCACCTCTGCTTGTATCTGTTGCAAGGCTTTATCTGGAAGGGAAAGGGCTGCTTGCTGTGTCTCCCATTGATTCTAGATGGGTGGGTGGTTAGGTGAGTGAGATTGTTACAATAGCTTGTTAATGGAGTTCATGCTGCCATGTAGCGGGAAGAGGAAATGAAAAGCAAAATCTCTGGAAACCTTGTGAATCAGAATGGTGGGCTGGTTCCTAGAAATGCAACTGCTTCACATCAGTGCAAAGTAATGATCTTATGCTTGAGGAAGAGATGTGAAACTGTTCCATTCAAATTCTTCAGATGATGTCTGGTACCCAAAATCTCTCTGGAGAAGCTATTTGTTAGATTTACTGACTGTTACTGGATAAGGGCAAATAATCTGTAGAGAATGAGGAACTTCCTAACTACTTAAGCCCTTGCACAGTAGCCAGAAGCAGTTTGGGATACAGAATGGAAGCAAGATTTGGACTGATTCATATGTATGAGGGTTGCATGTAACTAATTCTCCATTCCTATTCCAGGTATAAGTTCCTTGTGGCGTGGAAATTCTGGCAGCAGAGGTTTTCAGCTACTTGAACCTGGAAAATGGGAAATCAGCATTTCCTCACCTTTCCCAGGCTCCCTGAGCTCTCGTGATGGGACACCCATCTCAGTCATGAGACACCCACTCTAGTACTGTTGTGAGCTGTGTTTTGCTCTAGCTTTATGTGTTAGGTGGCACACTGCCTGATCCACTGACTTGTACATGAAAAGCTAACAATGTGTTAAAGATGTCAGCTTTTAGTTGAAGAAAATGTAGTGAGTTTGCTTGAGAGTAGATTTCTGTAGTGCTGTTACAGACAGAACATTTATTTTCTACAGTCTCCTTTATAAGCTTTCCACTGGGGACAAAAAAAAAAGACTACCTCCAATGCCAATCCTTGTTGCACAGCCACGAACCACTGTTGACATGCCCTTTTGTTAGGGCTAGTTTAGCCTGATGCTCTTAATTCATCCTCAGATACACTGTCAAACTTCTTAGCACCTCACTAGGAGAGTATGGCATGCACACATGCTCTCCTGCACCAAGCTGTGGGACAACAGGGAACCAAAACCTGAGAGAGTGCAGCAGAAACTTCACTGTGACACAGTACCTCCGGTATGAGCATCTGCACTTTTCATATTTGTGCTACCAATACATCTTAGCCGTTCACACCTTGGGGCTCCTCTTACTTAATTAAATTCTGAATTCTTTTACTAACAGAGGAACATATTACTTTCAAGACTGCAATTGTTCTTTAAGTCAGTTCAGACCTGCAGGATCAGTCCCTAAGCTATGAGGCACAATCTCTCCTATTCACATGTCTTGCAGCACAAATACAACACAGTCCATAAGGCCAGCATATTCACAGACTCTGCATTGCAATTATCTTCCTCTTGTGCTTTGACATGAAACCTTTACCACTTCCCCAGTGGGTTCAGAGGTTACTTGGCCTGCCTCAGACTGCTTCAGTATGAATGAAATGATCAATCCTTCATGCTCCTTGTGAAATCCATCGAAACTCTGACCATAAATGACCACCTGGGAATCCAGCCTGGATGTGTTGCCAGACACCATTTGGCTGCTGGAAGCAGAGCAGTGCATTGATTCTGAGTCACTCTGTAATTCATTGAAAAAACAAGTATCAGTCAGAGGACACTATTGTGAAAGATACATAGCCCGCTTGTCTGGCAGACAGAAGGCTGGTTTCAAATTTGATATGGCAAACAGGCACTGTCAGGCATGAAGAGGACATATAACCTGTTATGTCAGATCGGGGGTTTCCTCAACAAACACCTAAATACATAGAAATATTGCAGAGAGAAGGTGCAAATTGTTAACTGTGACATTAAGCAAAGGGGAAATGAGTAAAGCATCAAAAGAAGTGGGGACTGCCAATTTCATGCAGGGTACCCTGCTTAGATAACCAGCTCCTAGGCAGAGATATAGAGGGGCACCCTGGCGTGTTGGGTAACATTACATTCTCTCTTGTTGTTCTACCACATAACCTTTTTCAAATTACTTGACCTCCCCAGCAAATAAAACTCGGTACATACACAAACACACTGATTTCACCATTTAAAAAAACATTGGTGAAATTATTGCCTTTGACAGTTACTGCCTTTGAAACTTACTGGTGTAAATAGCTAACCTCTACTGCGTACAAGAAACGCTGGATGCAAGATCCTATGTAACAGTGGAGAGTCCTATGCCCTGGAATCTTTCACCAGACTGAGAAGGAAATTCACTGAATAAAGAGTTTCTGAAAGAAGGAAAAACTTGATGTTTGCCTTGAGATGAGGCTGGATAAAGGACAAATTATCAAAGTCTGAACAAGGTAGTTCAAAATACATACATTCTACTCTGGAGAGATAAATGATTTACACTCATTGTAATAAAGCTTTTGGAAGTCTCAGGTTCCATCACTGCTTTCTTTTTGGAAAAAAGAGATTTTTATTCTTAATAAAACATTTTTTTTTATTACACCACATGTGTCCATAAGAAGGTTCATGCATGCATGCATGTCATGTGAAAGAAATAAGCTCTATAAAATCCACAGTGCAATGGGGAGAGAGTATGGGGCAATTTATCGCTGTATAGCATCTTAGTGGGAAACAAAAAAGTACTAAGGAAAAAAAATCATTAAAAAAGTGAAAACCAAAAATTTGAATCTGTTTCTATGCAGTGAGGTAATGACACTGTTTGGATCTGTTTGTTTCCTTTTATTTTCACAAGAAAGTATCTTTTTCGTATTGCTCCATCTCTTAGACCTGTCTTTTAATCCCTTATGTAGTATACAGGTAATGTTCAGGATTATTATTGGACATTTTTCCACTTCTTTCTGCAGTCCTTCAATACCTCCAAATCAAAAGGAGCTGGAAGAAGATAAAGATGGCAGAATGAGAAAAAAAAAACTATGAAAAATTAATATGAGCCGAGTCTATAGACAGTGCAACAAGAAAGGATTAAAATAAAAGAAAATGAAAAATGAGTCAGTAAGAATAAACAAAAAGCCCAATATTCTAACAGGTCAGCATTTCAAAAAGTAAAAACTCTCTTTGGAAACTCCCAGTCTTGGGAAAAGACCATTTTAGCAGGAAAAAAAAATCAAATAAGACTATTTCAGCCAACTCTTCTACAAAATCCAAAAAGCATGAGTAACATCCAAGTAACGTCCAGGAAATCAGAGGTTTGAGGGTAAAATAAACTACTAAGGCACAATCTCAACTATGTTTTCTCTGTTTGCTATGTAACAGTTTAGGGTTGTAACAGAAATTTTACAATTGTACAACAGTCCGTGACGGGGCTTCTACAACCTGTCCCTCTCCGTCTTTTGTCTTCTATTGCTTTATGGGGAATATGACTGAAGAAGTATTTTGGCTAGGGCTTTTCTAGGAGCTGAATCCCTAACAATAGTGTTCATTAAAACCAGTTTCTGTCATGCAACATGTAACACAAGATTCGGTATTGGTAAGATGCTTTCCTCCTTTCTAATTTATCATTGCTGTAAGTCGCCCCACATGTATTTACACTCAGTAATGATCTTTAGATCTTCCCAGTCTGTGCCAGTATTGAGTGTATGAAATCAGGAAGTCAGTAAACCAAATAGGTATGTACGGCAAACAACTACTCATAATCTCCTTGAAGGTTAAGACCTGAAATAAAAATTTACAACTTGAGAAAACTTAATCTTGCTAAACAGATAGTATAAGCTAATGTGGACAGGTGAAAGATGTTAAGGATGACAACTACAGCTACTCCAAAATTTAAGGAAGGATAAATGACAAGAATATAATAATTACAACATCTGCATATCTTGAGATGGTTTGAAACCCAAACCTTGATATACATTTTGCAAGCTTGTCTTCCCAGCCTGAATTATGAACCCAAATCTGAATGCTCTTGGAATTTAATGATTAGATTCAAGATTGCAATTTTGTACCTAATATATAGCACTGGGAATGAAATGCCACTATGAAATGTTGTGGGCCATTTTCCTTTAGTACAGGTATTTCGTTAACTTCAAAGTTCAAGTAGTTTTAAATTCTATCATACTTCTTATAGAGTTGTACAAACTTTATTTAAGGCTGGGGAAAAGAGGTTCTCAAAGTAGAGTAAAGCAAACAAATGAATCTAAATGAGGATCTGTGCTAAAGGTATCGTATACCATTATTCATAAAGTGTTTTACAATGTGGAGCGTCCCTTATGCATGTCAATCTATAAGTTGCCATGCAGAAGAACACAGCAATAATGAAAATAAAAAAAATACAGGTCACTGAAATTATTTAGTTAAAAATAAGTCCAATTGGTTAGTGGGGAGTTCTGCCCATACAAGTCTTTGTCTTTGCCTTTGGTTTGACTTTAACTGCAATGACACACTCCATATACCCAAGTCCCTTGAGCTGTCCAGTCCATCATTACTATAGCAGTCTACCCACTGTCATAAAAATTTCCCATTTCCTTGAGAGATGAAATTTTGAGATTTGTATTTATGTTCTATGATTATGAGTTCAATTCAGTGTGGGGGGTTGATTGGAGAAGAGGGAGGAATAGGAAGGATTAAACAGCTTTTCTGGCAAAATGAACTGGACAGGTATGAACTGGAGATATGAAGAAGAGGTCAGGGGGCGAACTTCATCTAAATGAGTATGCCTGAGCTATTTAATTCCTCCTGGGAGTCATAAGGTCTTGTATGGCTTGAGATCAATTTTTAAAAAGAAATAAATCAGCTCTGATTATCAACAAGAAAGATTTAGCTGCTGCACACATCAAGCATAATCATTTTTAAAAACTGCAAACATTAACAACTTTGAAATACCGAACATCTTCCACATATTAAATCCCGCATCAGTCCTCCCAGCCTTTAGTACACTGTTGGCAAATCTATCACCAATGATATTTCATCCTCTGTCCCAATGCATTGCAGGAGCAAGTTTCACTGCAGCTTATATAGTTTGCTGCCATCTTGCAGAATTGAGGCCAGGATTTAATGTCTGAATTGTGCAGACTTGCAAGGGGGTATTCCCTTTCCCCCTGCTGAGAAGGAAGGCTCATTTGCTGCCCTAGGGTTCTTCTGAAAAAATGTCTGAAACACTGACAAAAGTGGAAATGATGTTAGGACCAGCTGATGAGAGCAGGAGGGAGCATATTGCCTTCCAAAGGTGGCAGTTTAGCTGAACATAATCTATGGAGTAATGAGAACTTTGCATAGGCTTTTCAGGCTCCTGAGGCCAAATTTTGGAAGAAGCAGCTCAAAACTCGGATTCTCAGACCTTTTGCTGGCTACTTTCCTCCACAAAATGTGGAGGAAACTTGTGTTTGTCTATTCAATCAAATAACTTTCCCTTTGTAAGACAAAAAACTTCAGGAATTGTTCATTAAGTCTCTTTTTGGCCCGAGTGAAACAAGGGACATTGTAGTAAGCACCTGCCTGAGTGCTGGCAGAAGTGCCTATGTTGATCCTCCTGTCTATGGATCCTCCTATTGATCAGGCTGGCATGGAGCTACCACACAGCTGGGCAGGACCGTGACCATGAGACAAAGGGACAACAGAATCTCACAAGAGTCAGACCTGGAATAAGAGTTTAGTGCTGCTGCTCTCATGAAACTGAGATATACCTACGTAGCTCTTACTAGCTATTACACCCTTGAAAGCTAGACCAATGCTTGTATTTCTGTCCATTTTCCTGGCTATGTCCCTGCTGTTCAGTCACAACGACAGCTCCATGGAAATCTACTTGATCCCATGCCCTGGCTCCTCTTAAGGCCTATGTTTCGGAGGCCCAGCCAGCACTTTCCCTCCTGCAGCATGGTGAGCACTGTGGGACATCAGGCTGTCAGTAGCAGGATTTCACAGTAGCTCATATGCACCAGAAAGGGGAAGCTGAGGGAAGACCTGTGGTTATACAGTGGTCATGAAACAGAAATTAAAGAGATTGCCATGGTCATGTTAGAGGGATATGTGGGTTCCAGGAGCATAAGGAAGATAAACTAAATTAAAGGATTTAGGATTTGGGGGGTTGAAATACCTCACAACCATGACACATGCAACCATTTGCAATAAAAGTAAAGATAGCAAACATTGCCTGTGAGGGCAGGCATCCACTGAGTTGTTTGACAAAACTTTAGCCAGGCAGTAACTTCTATGGACTACAATAGACTAAAATAAGCAACTCTTAAGGCATACTGCCCGAGCAAAAAGTATCTTTGCTTCCCAAAAGCCATGTTTTTTTACTCAAGAGACTGACTAAAACATGTAACCAGCGAACAAGGATCTCTTTCAAGAAAAATATATTTATTCAACAGAATACTCCGCAGCCTAGGGCTTCATCCACGTATAAAGGTCTGATGGAAGCAGTGCCCTCCTGAACACTGGCCCTTACCATACTGGCTTTTCATTCTGTGAAGCAGCTGATCAGCCCCTGACAGGGGCACTCTGCAGTCCGCAGCAGTCTGGCCTGGCCAAGAAGCCAGGTCAAGGGAGGGCAAGAGCTACTGCTGAGCACCTCTTCACCTGTAATTGAAGAGTCACCTTTTCTGCATTTCCTTGTTTCTTCTTCCCACAGCCAATGCAAAGAGATATGAAGCATTTCCTACTGCAACATCTGTCTCATCAGCTTCAAAAGCTAAAGGAAACTTCATCTGCATCAGGAGTCCGACCCAGATGAAACAAGCCCTGTCTTTCCTGCTAAGTGTGTTGGTAATCTTTCCATTTAAAGATTAAAGAAAAAAAGTGTGCTCTTTACTGGAAAACACAGAAGTTCTAAAGAAAATGTCCACCCATGTTGAACAGTGCCTCATGATTCATAATTTCCACTGAAAATTTGAGTAAAAGAAATATCCTCTTCGCTCAAGGTGGTGAAAAGATACGTTTTATTTGGTGAGAAAAGAGGCCTCTATGCATTTTAAGAAAACTCATGTTACCAAACACAGTTATTAATTCAAAC